GGGGGCAGCCCCACTCGGGCCCCCCCCACCAGGCTGCACCTTTGATGATGGCCTTCCCGTTACCTCTTAACTGACTTCCACTGTCAGCTCCAAAGATTAGGCTTTGGATTTTCCAGGTTTTGTTCAGTTTCTTGTTCTTCCTGCAGCTCTAGAAACTGAGCTCTGTCTACAGAATGGGTGTCCTTGGGCTGGGGATGAGGAGATGGCCGGTCCCAGGCACATGAAGGTGGGCATGGAGCTGTAAAAGGTCTAAGCCAGTCTCCAGATTCAGGTGTTGGGGGTCCTGGGTGTAGGGGGTCTGTGCAAGGCTAGGACCCAGCCCCAGACTCCCGAGGGCATGGGTGGGGTAATGACAGAAACTCCAGCCAGGCCTGCCTGGGGGCTCCTGGCCCCTTTTGGGCAGAGGGCATGATGCCAGGTGATCCAGACTCCTGAGCCTGGTGGAGGCCCACCCTGCCCCCAGGTATCTTCATTGCGGTGGGGCAAAATCTAGATTCATTTCCTATTGTTGTGTAACCAGTGACTACGAACATAGCAGCTTTAAACAACACAAATTTACTAAAACACAGCCCTATGGGGCTGGCCGAGCGGACTCTCACTGGAGGCTGGGGAAGAATTCGCCTCCCGGCTTGGTCAGGTGTCCAGATCCAGTTCCTTTCGGTCGCAGGGCCGAGATTTCCCTTTTCCCCGAAGCCTGTGAGCCAAGGCTGCCCGCAGCTCCTGGCGGCGCTGCAAGTTCCTTGCCATGCGACCCCTACACCCCCTTCAAAGCTGGCGATGGAGAACCACCTTCTTGGTGCTGAGTCCCTCTACACTTCGAATCTCCCTGACTTCCTCCAGAGAGAAGGGCACACAGGCCAAACCGGGAATGCCACTCACCGTCGCTGGGTGCCCAGGCCCAGTCCTGGCTGGAGCCGAGGAGGATAAATGAGCAGGAAGGGGAGGCAGGAGTGTGAGACCCCCACAGATGGGAGGCTCCTGGAGCGGGGCTGGCAGCCCAGGTTTGGTGAGCCCCAGGGAAGGCAGGGGATGGACAGCTGGATGGAGAGATGGCCCCTTAGCTTTATCGGGCCTCTGAGCCTCAAGTGAGAAGTGGAAGGGTTGGGGATGTGCAGGTCCCCAGAGGGACCACGTAGCTGAGGAACCCAGGTCAGAGTCACCACATCAGCGGTCGAGACAAGCCTGAATCCAACGGCTGTACATGGCGACGTTGGTATAGACACCTGGACGGTAGGGCAGAGCACAGCCCTTGCCCCAGCTCACCACGCCCGCCAGGACCCAGCGCCCAGACTTCAAGCAGGTCAGGGGTCCCCCAGAATCACCCTGTAGGAGAAAGGCAAGCTTAGGTCCCCGTCCTCTGAAGGCTGTGATCGTAGTCCTAGGGCTCCAGTCCCCCAGGTGGGACATCTGGGTTGGGAGCCAGGATGCCGAACCTCCTTGGTCCTGGGTTCAAGGGAGGTAGGCTGCTGGGCACAGGAGCACGGACTCAGAGGTTCGAGGCAGCTTCACGCACCTGGCAGGCATCCTTGTGGCCCTGGACGTAGCCAGCGCACAGGTTCCCTGGTAACACTATCTGCTCAGCGCGGGGCACGTTGGTGCCGACATGGTAGAGGTGGTCGCAAGTGCCCGCATCCAGCACCGGCACTCTTACTCCCTGAAGAGGTCGCCACTCTGGAAGTGACACTGGGGGACGAAGCGGGACTCGTGAGCGATGAGAGGGTGTGGCAGTAAGCAGGGTCGGGAGAGAAGCCTCACCTGGGAATCTAACTGGCCAGGACTGGGGGGGT